GAGGTCCAGGTTGGATATTAGGAAAAACTATTTCACTAGGAGGGTGGTGAAGCACTGGAATGGGTTACCTAGGGAAGTAGTGGAGTCTGCATCCCTAGAGGTGTTTAAGTCTCGGCTTGACAAAGCCCTGGCTGGGTTGATTTAGATGGGATTGGTCCTGCCTAGAGCAGGGAGCTGGACTTGATGCCTTCTGAGGTCTCTTCCAGTTCTATGATTCTATGATTCATCGCCTTTTCCCTCTGGGCTATTCCCCTTAACTGAATGATTCATTCAAGGAATGACCAGCAAACAGAAAGAACAGGCTGTCCTAGCCTCAGTCCATTGGTGAGCACGGCCCCCGGCTCTGAATATTCCTGGAACATGGGCGCAACCAGCTCATAAAACTCACCACCCATGAAGGCTGGGGGCGCCACGTAGCAGCCTGACTTCCACAGCCACCTGGCAGGGCTAGGGCCAGGGCTACAGCATGGCAACCCCAGCCCTCCAACTGTCCAGGAAGTCTCAGGCTGGTTTGGCAGGGCCAGGCTTCAGGGCCGGGGCCGGGGCTGCGGATTGCCTTCCCCATCCCGGTCTGTGCTGCAGGGGACGGCCGCCATTCAGGTAATGTTGGATCCTCCGGCGTGCTCTGCGGACACGGCGCAGGAGTTGGGGGGGAGCTTGTCACCCCAGAGGTGATGGGGCCGGTGGAGCGAGTGCTGCGCTCCCTGCTTCAGACTGGGTTTCCGTCTAGGGTTGCCAGATGGTTTCAGAAAAAATAACAAAACCAAAAACCAAAAAAACACCCCAGGAAAAATTTCGTTGAGCAAAAAAAAAAAGGCCCCCGAGAATTGTTACGTAAAAACCCGACAACCCCAGCACTGGGGCCCTTTTAAGAATCACGTGGTGAGTCTTTTAGCCCTAACAAGCTGCTGGTGGCCACCCGCCATCTTTCCTCCCTGCGTGGGGCCGGACAGCTTCCCTGATGAACCCGGTGGGCACAAGGGATGCCAGGCTGCCTCCGTATTCAGCCAGACAGCATTGTAGGTGTCCGCTATTTTCGGTATTTTTTTACTGGAGGGGAGTCAAAAATTCCCACATACGGAACACCTGGTGACCCTATTTCCATCTCGAGAGGGGAGAGATCAGGGCAGAGCTGCATATGGGACAGGTTCATGAATCCTTCCCCGACCCTGGTGGGCGTGTGGGGAGAAGACAGGGCCCTACAGGGCCACAGTCCTGAACACGTGGAAAGCCCTGGGCTGCCAGGTGTCCAGTATTGACCCAGACCGTCCGCTATTTTTGTATCCTGTCCGGTAAAAAAATTCAGAAAATACCAGACACCTGAAATGTCCGGAATTTTCTGATTTTTTCCCTGCAGGAGGAGAAAATAGCGGCCTCTCCGGGTAACAGCCGGACACCTGGCAACCCTACAGACACTCAGCAACCAGGTTACCCGGTTCTGCAGGACAACTGTCTGGCCTGGAGCCAGAAAACAATATGGCCACCAGCCGCCACCAGCCTGTTATAGCCAAAGAGCCTCAGAGGCGTTTCTTAAAGGGGCCATGCTGGGTTTTTTTATTATTTTATTTTATTTTGTTTAATAAGTCTGGGGTCCATTTTTTTATGTTCAATGACTTTGGTCTCCTCTTTTTTTTTCTCAACAGATTTTTTCCACCGATGGGGTTTTTTTGGGGCGGGAGGGGGCTCAGTATTTTGGATTAAATTATCTGGCAACCCTAGCACAGCACGGCCCCAAGCCCCCCAACTCTCTCAGGACAGACCGTGCCCCCAGCTTTTAGCTTTGCTCACAGGCTGCGTGTCCCGACCTCTTCTCGCTTTGTCGCTCTCCTCTGTACTCTCGCCATGTGTCCACGTCCTCCCAACGTACCCCTCCCAGGACTGGGCCGGCTCTCTAGCTAGGACCTCGCCCGCTCTGAGTGCAACAGAGAAACTGGCTCTCCAGGCCTACGTACGGCCCTCCCCATGGGGCACCCGTCGGCAGGCAGGACACCGGGTTACATGGACCTTTGGTCTGGCACCGTCTGGCCGCTCTGATGTTTGTAACCACTGAGTTCTGTGACAGGGAAAGGGGGGCAAGGAGGGGGACCCACGCACCTGGCATGGCGGGAATGGGGGACACACAGAGCCCCTGATATGAGGGAAAGGAGTGGGGGAGCACAGCGCCCCGACATAGGGGAGGGAGGAACAGCTGCTGTGAAGGGACACAGGGTGCTCTGGGGCTACGGAGATGGCAGGGGAGGGTGTTTCCAAGGGAGGCACCAGGGGGCGCCAGAGCAGCAGCCAGCAGGGCCCCAGGGGGCAGGGGAGGGTGTTCCCAGGGGAGGCACCAGGGGGCGCCAGCTTGTGCCCGGCAGAACTGGGCCTGGTTTATTCAAAAGTTGCTTTTACTCTCTGGGCCCGGGGGGCTGTTTTGGGGCTTGTTTCACTGGGGGTCTCGGCTTTGGGCTGTTTGTGCAGGGGCTGAACCGGTGCCAATGCAGACGCCCGTCGCTAGAACACGAGATGCCCCCCCGACCCCCATTCCCGCCCCATGGAGAGAAACCCCGGAATTCGGAAAGGTCCTGTGCCGCCCATTCAACACCTGCTCCCGCCCATTCGACACCTGCTCCCGGCCATTCCCTGTCCTGCGCCGGGACAGGCTGCCATGCGGGACGGCGCCCAGCCCAGCCCACAGAGCCCCCAGGGAGCGGCTGGGCTGAGGGTGCCTGTTCTAAAATGAAAGGAACTAGAAATCAAGCCGGTCCCACGTTTATTAGCGCGATGGCGCTGAGGTGGAACTGCACGGTGCAGCAAAACCAGAGCTACTGCAAAGAGTGACGGAATGGGAATACGCACGGCCCTGCGCCCTCGGAGATGGGGGGTTGCTGGGAAAGGAGGAGGGGGCTGTATTTCCTTCAATGCCTTGGGAACACCAGCTCAGGCAAGGGGCTGGGGACTAATGAAATGGAGGGGGGCTGGCTGTGGGCGAGGACTCCTGGGGTCTCTGCCCGTAGCCCCTCACTGGCACGTACTCCTGGCAGCTGTCCCCGCCCAGGTTGGGCCCGCACTCCAGCGAGTAGGAAAACACCACATGGCCCCGTTCCAGGTTGCAGCGGAGCTGCTTGTCCTGGCCGGCCTTGAGGCGGGTGACACATGATCCAATATTGTCGTCTCGAAAGACGTCTTTGTCCCACACCGGCGACACATGATCCAATATTGTCGTCTACCAGGACGTCACTGTCCAACACTTGCACCTCCAGTTCGGGCTTCTCTGGCAGCGTCACCACCCCGAAGTCCAGGACTTGGTTCCACTCGGGGTTGTTGTCGTCCTGAATGTGGCGCGTCCGCAGCTCCCAGCCTCGGAAGAAGACCTTGACGTAGGCGTCGGTGTCAGTTACGGAGTCCCCCAGCAGGTCTCTGCCCCGCAGCACGTGGACACTGAGCCGGGCCAGGCCCCGCCGGAGGGAGCAGCACATGGAGTTGGTGAGGGGGTTCCCGGAGCAGTGGCAAGTGCAGGGATCCAAGGAGTCAAAGACACCACCTTCTGGGCAGCTCCAAGGGCATGTACTCTGCCCCCGCTCAGCCACGTACTCCTTCACTGCCCGCCTCAGCGCCTCCCGCCGGGGGTCTCCCGGCCTCACCAGGGTGTGGATGGGCCCCAGAGAGAATGCTCTGCCTGCTCTGGCTGCTCGGCTCGTTGTCGTGGGAGCCAGCTTTGAAGAACTTGGAACCCAGGTTCTCCCTGTTTTCTGGTGGAGAAGAGTTCCTTGGTGTGGCTGTCCCCCCCCATCACCTCGACGCGCTTCTCCATATAGGGCAACGGAGACCTCAAGTTGCCCTGGATGCTCGACTCGTGGCTGTGAGTGCCATAGGTGGCCAGGAAGGACCGGTATGTGTCAGATCTGTAGCTAGGCTCTGTCAGCCCGTCCAGCACTGCCCGGCAGGTCGGGATGGCTGTCAGCTGCTGCATGAGTCCATGATGAGCCAGCTACAGGCCCCTGCTCCTTTTCCCAGCAAAACTACCCCCCGCTTCTGCCTCAGTGCCAACTCTGTGGCTTTCCAGCAGAGGGCGCTGTGCTGCAGAGAGCAGGGCAGAGGGTTCACTGAGGGACACGGTGCTGCAGGCACTGGGGAAAGGCCCCTGCAAAGAGCAGGGCAGAATGAGTGATGAGCCAGCTACAGGCCCCTGCTCCTTTCCCCACTAAAACCGACTCCCCTGCCTCAGTGTCAACTCTGTGGGGGCCCAGCAGGGGGCGCTGTGCTGCAGGGAGCAGGGCAGGGCCCAGCAGGGGGCGCTCTGCTGCAGGGAGCAGGGCAGGGCCCAGCAGGGGGCGTTGTGCTGCAGGGAGCAGGGCGGGGGACCTACCGGGGGATTCTCACCTGTAAAACACACAGGACACCTCATTGAGCACAAACATGTACTTGTCCTGCTGCTCCTTCTCGTAGGCGAAGCTGGCGAGCGGGGATCGCGCCCCCCCCAGGGCCAGGTCTTTTGACTCCCCCGACAGACCCAGCTCCTTCTTCCAGTCGCTGGTCACAGCCGATGCCACTGCCTGGGCCACGGCTACAGCCGACTGCTCCACCGAGCTTCTCACCTCCTGTTGGCAGGAAACGGTTTCCTTCCAGTCCAAGACGACCAGCGGCACCTTCCTGTCCTGCCGCGGGCTCTGGCACAGGGTGCAGGTGCCATCAGGGCCGTGCCACAGGCTGGTGTCCAGCAGGGAGGCCTCCGTCCAGCCCAGTGTGGTGATGTCGAAGCCCTTCCCCACCAGGCTGTGCCAAGGCATCGAGGGCGTCGTCTCTCTGCACTTCTCAGCCGTGGCGGTGTAGCAGTAGGGGGAGACTCCAGGGAGAAAGAGGAGGAGAATAAAGACGCTGCACCTTGTCAGCATGGCTGGTCCCAGGGCGCCCTCCCCAGGGAGCGGCTTTCAGTGTCTGAGCCTCCTTAGTGGAGAGAAACAGAGAGAGCCTTCATTAATGGGAATCCAGTGGCAGGGAGTTCCGCAGGCACCACACATGCTACCAGCATCCCAGAAACCTCCAAGCTGCTGCCCAGCCCTCTGAATCTAACAGAGAATTGCAGCTTGGTGAGAGCAGTGCAGGGGCTATGACACACACAAGCTGGCAGTTCTGGTTCTGTGCACTAGGGGGCGGTTGGTTTTGCTGTGTGTGGGAGGGGACGTAAAACACACACTGGTGAGTCGTTCTCATTCCATCCAATGGCCAAGCTGCAGTGCACAGTCCTACCCCCCGCCCCCAGGTGAATCTCCCCTCCTTGTGTCGGATCTCAATCCCCCCGTGAGCTGCAGGACAAGGGCAGGGCTCTCGGGGGGGGAGGGGTTGGGAGCTGCCAGGGGGTTGCTAGATTATTACCTGGGGGCCGTGAGCTGCCAGGCTGCAGCCCAGACCCCGCTTTGCCGTCACCACTGATACCGCTCTTA